GGACGTGGTGCCCAGTTTGGCCACCAGGAGGCGTGGCACGGGTCCAGGAGCCCGGAGTCGCCGCCGCCGCCGCATCGCGAGTGTCCTTGAGCCGCGGGTGACGGTGGCTCTCGCCGCTCGCGCCCCGTCCTCCCGCGGGGGGAGCCTGATGCCACGTTCCCTATGAATTATTTATCGCCGGCCTAAAAATACCCCGAACTTCACAGCCCGAGTGTAAGAGATTCCTGCCAAGGGGAGGGGGCGGGGCGCCCCCGGGGGGCCGGGACGGAATCAGCGGGGAGGGGGAGAGTTAATCCTGGAGGGAGACTTTGGTGCCCGCGCCAGTGGAAGTGAGATGCAGGGGCGGTCTTCTCCCCTGACGCCTGGGTTCGGATTTTAGCTCAGCAAAAGTCGAGGGAAGGAAACCCGACGGCAAAGTAGAGGCCGCTTACCAAAGGGCAGTGGATAGGACGGGCAGAGCAGCTCGGGTCCCTCTGCTCCCCCGAAGCAGCGCAGTTGGTGGGTGGGGCCCCTTCCTGGGGCGGAAGCTCCTGGCCTGGGAGAGGGGGGGGCCACCAGGGTCTGGGGTGTGAGTGTGCATGTGCGCACATCCGTGTGGGGGGAGCTTGCCTGGGAATGGGGGAGGGGGGCTCGGGGGCGGCAAGAAGAGCCGTAAACACATGCAGGTAACTCCGGGAGCTCAAGGTGATGCCGCAGGTTTCAGAGGATTGACCATTGCGATGGCCCCTGGGCCTTTATGGGGTCCCAGTGTTCATTAACTTAGCCCGTTAGTGAAAGGTGGGAGACCGTGAGAGAGTGAGGTTCCTAAGAAAAAGTCAGGTATGTGGCAGGGGCATCACTGAGTGGGCAAATACCTGCCAATCAGTGAAGTGGCCTAGCAGAGAGCTTCCCAACCCAGGGGTGGGAGGGAGGTAAGGTAGGAGGAAGGAGGTGGCCTACAGCCCCACCCAGACCCTATATCTTCTCACTGCACGTGTCCAGAGCCTGGGGGAACTAGGGCAGGTGCCCAGTGGGAGAGGGATTTAGGTTGGGCTCTGAAAATTCTGGAATTTTGTTGTGTAGACAAGAGAGAGGCTGTGGGAAGAGGACGTTCCAGCCTAAGGGAACAACAGAGCAGAGACCTGGAGATGAGAACAGTGAGGGGCTGTCTGGCTAATAGACTGGCAGGAGTGTGGGCTCTATGGAGGGGAGACAATGGGTTGGTGTCGGGTGTGTGGGGCCCTAGTCATGGGACCAAGGTGTCTGGACTTCATCTGTGGGCACCAGGGAGCAGCTGTGTTGTGTGAGGAGGGGTGCAGCGCCCAGAACAACGTTTCGGATCAGTGGGGCGGGGGGGCGGGGAGTGAGGTGGATGGGAGGTGGAGAGGTTTGGGGGGCCACGGCTGGGGGTATGACCCTCCTGCCTTGTGGGGGAGGCTGGAGGTCATGTGGTGATAAGACTCTGGGGTCTGAATCTCTTTGAATCTGCCCTTGGCTATTGGAAGCTCAGAGAGACTTGTCTGATGGGACCCCTCCCTCCGGAGGTATTCTGTGATCACTTCAGGTGAGAGGCACCACCTGCCTCGACTTCCTGTCCTTCTCAACCCCAATCCCAGAGGACACCTTCCCATCGAGGGAGTCTCTGGGTGTAGTGCCCCCCTGGAGTTGGGGGAGGGCCTGAGTCCTACATCTAGAGTCATGTTGTCCTAAAGAAGCAACGTGAGTGTGGCAGGTGTCATTGTAAATTTTCAGTGGCAACGTTAGAAAAAGTAAAAGGAAACAGGTGAAATTAGTTCTAGCGGTTTATTTTGTTTAACTCAGTGTATGGAAAATACTACTTCAACATGTCATCAATATAAAGAATATTCCTGAGATAGTTTACATTCTTTTTCTCACACTCAGTCTTCCATATCCAGCCTGTATTTGACACTGACCTCGGACCTCAGTTTCCGGTGCCCAAAGTCACCTGTTCTGGGCGGCACAGACGTGGAACTCAGCGCTGCGAGGCAGAGATGGGGGAGCCTTGGGGCTGCCCGGGGTGGGGGGCAGGGAACCTACCGGGCCTGGGCTGTGGGCAGAGATGGGCACAGAAAGGCCTGGGAAAGGGAGAAGCAAGCACGGCAGTGCCCTTTGCAGGTGTCCCTTGAGGTCCCCGATTGGTGGTAGCTGCGGTCCTGTGGCCCTGACAAAAATGCTGTCTTCTCAGCCTAAATTAAACTGGGTTCACCCTGGTCGCCCTTTGTCTCTCCCCCGTTCAGAAGTTTTGCTGAGGATATGATGAAGATGGAGAAGGTGGCGCAGGAGTGGACGATGGCAGCTGGGAGGGAGCGCTGCCTCAGTGAGCACCACTCATTGGCTTGGCTCTTGGTTCTGATCCAAAGCAATGATGTTTATTTGCAGGGATGCACATCACGCCCTTGGGTTAGGTCAGAAAAACCTTGCACACCGACGATGGCCTGGGGAAGCAGCTCGTGTGGAAGACACCCCAGGGTTTCAGGAGACTCTGAGCCCTGACCAAGTTGGCAGTGTCACACTCCTGTGGAATGGTTGCTACTAGTTGAGGCCACAGGGGAAGGGTGGGGATGTCTGGTGCCCAGGAGGAGGGGGCTCTGTGCCAGGCAGGGCCACACAGAGCAGGGCCCTCGGGGCTGTTAGGCTCAGTTTAGGATGGAGAATATGGAGGCAGGGCAGGAAGTGTCACAGAAGCTACTCTCCGTCCCCTGGATGTGGGGCTGTCACCCGTAAGATGAGGGCTGATAGCAGTGGGCAACCTCCTTCCTGCTGCGACGTAGTTCCCGGGATTATCGCAAGAAAACCTAAGTGACTCCCCCAGGATCACACGGCCAGTAAGTGGCAGAGCTGGGACTTGAACTCAGGTCTGTCTGACTCAAAACTGTGGACTTGGACACCAGACTAGCATTTTCAGCGTCCCTTTCTACCGGGGCAGAACCCAGACAGATGCGTTTCCAAACGCATGCTGTTCAGCAGCAGAATGGAAGTGATGAGCACCTTTGGGGACTCACATTCTTCCAGCCCCTGCCCCTCCAGGCTGCCCTGGGGACGCTCAGCTAACCTGTCTCTTTCTCTTTCTCTGTGACTGGCTGTCTCTCCCTCTCTGCCCTTCTTTGTGGAGGGAGATTTTTCCCTCTTTTCTTTCCCACGGGATGTGTGTCTCTGACTCTGGGTGTTGCTCATCTTTTCTCTTTGTGCTTCTTTCTCCCTCCCTGTACCTATCCCGATCTCTCTTCAGGACCCTCCGGTGGACATGGGTGGCGCCCTGGGGCCGGCCCTCCTGCTCACCTCACTCCTCGGCGCCTGGGCAGGGCTGGGCCCGGGGCAGGGTGAGCAAGCCATGACGGTGGCCGTGGTGTTTGGCAGCTTGGGGCCACCGCAGGCCCAAGTTCGTACCCGCCTCACCTCCCAGAGCTTCATGGACCTGCCTCTGGAAATCCAGCCGCTCACCGTGGGGGTCAACAACACCAATCCCAGCAGCCTCCTCACCCAGATCTGCGGGCTCCTAGGTGCGGCCCGCGTCCACGGCATTGTCTTTGAGGACAACATGGGCACCGAGGCCGTGGCCCAGATCCTGGACTTCATCTCCTTCCAGACCCACGTGCCTATTGTCAGCATCAGTGGGGGCTCTGCTGTGGTCCTCACCCCCAAGGTGCCTGTCCAAACTCATGTCCTCTCATCCCTTGGGCTGGGAGCCAGGCTGCCCAGGGAGAGACTTAGGTTCTGGGCAACTGGGATTGGGTGGGATCAGCAGGGAGGTGGGGGCTGAGGGTGGGACATGGGCGAGGCGGGGAGAAGGCTGTGGGAAGGATGTTCCCATGTTCTAGAAGATAAACTTTCCGGGCTGCTTTCACATTCTGTCTGGATGAGGGGGTGTGGGTGGCAAGCTCCCCTCTAGCTTTGGTGGGCAACCCTGGTCCACCTTCTCTCTGTTTCTCTGGCCTTCTTCGGTCAAGCTCCAGACCCAGCGGCAGAGGGCCAGGCTGGGCAGAGAACCTGATGCAGTTAACTTGCAGGGAGACCATCCAGTGGCAGGTCACTGTCCCAGGCATGGGGGTGGCATGTCCTCACAGAGTTTGCATCCTGTGGTGAGAAAGTTCTAAACACACATTTGTCTGCAGTCTCAGCTGGGATAAGTGTTCTGAAGGAAAAACACAGGATGCCAGGAGGGTCTAAGAAGGCCCCCATTTGGGTAGGAGGTTGATCAGAGAAGGTCTCTTAAGAAATCATATCGAAGATCTGGAGCTTGAGGGAGAGTTGGCAAGTTGTGTGGGGGGCGGGGGAGGGAGGGGACAGTATTCCAGCCAGAGGCATCAGGTGGATTGAAGGCAGCCAGGTGGAAGGAGCCGGCAGTTCTTGAGAGAAGGCTGGAGAAGAAGGTGAGATCCTGAGCACATAGGAAGATATTTAGGTTTTATCCTTTTTTTTTTTTTAAAGATTTTATTTATTTATTTGAGAGAGAGAGTGAGAGAGAGAAAGAGCACAAGAGGGGGGAGCGGGAGAGGGAGAAGCAGACTCCCTGCCGAGCAGGGAGCCCGATGCGG